AAGATACAGAAGCAGGTCACATCAGAAGGACATAGCAGGATTTTCAAAACACAGACAGCAGTTCAGACAGGGTGGAGCAGAGATTAAATGTTGATACCTGAGTGGAAGAAGAGAAGGGATGATGAGAAGGTAGCCATTTTCTAAGTGTAAAGTTGATGACACTTTGTATCAGAGAGACATTGCAAAGTGCCTCTGCCTCCTAATTCTCCTCTAAGCTACTGTCGCTCCTCCATCAGCTATCCGGATCTGTCACCTCCACAGCAGAGCCTTAGTGGACTGTACCCAAACCCACTGGAAGGAAGAAGTGTGGCTGACTTGTAATGTGCTCAATCACTGGACCGTGACTTTGGCACCCCCCTTGGCACTTGGCAATGCGTGTGGTTAGCCGCAGGGTTCTTTACAGGTCCAGGGCCGTGGTCCATTTCAATGAGCCCTGACCCTGAAGACACTCTTAAGGGGGTAAGCCCACCTGGGGGGCGAAGATCAGATAAGTCTTCCCTGACTGCTTCTGCATCCAAGGTAGGGACCAAAAGCCCCTCAAGGAGTGCCTAAGACAGCCTTCCCCAGGTGCCCGACGGTAGACCCAGTACCCTACAAGTTAAATCTGCAGCTCCAGTGCAACTTTTGTCACACTTCTAGCATTTCCCATGAGGCCTAGGGGTTGAGGAATGTCTGAGCAGCCTCCTTCCCAAGTACTGTACTGCACATACGCCATCATTCTCTGTCTGGGCATACACTTCTGCTGGCTGCAACTCTGCACAGACACACTGAGCAGAAGCTTAAGTGCTACAACGATGCACTGCGCTGCTGTTCCCAAGCCTGGATCACCTTGCTGCCTATAGTGTCTGGACACAGGGTACACTGTCACCACTGGTCATGAGTTTTCTGGGGGATGCAAATGGCGGATCATAGGCGTGGGGTTACTGGGGTGTGAAGGCCACAGTTTTGGCAGGGAATCTACCTCCTCTGGAGACACCATTTCTGTTATTCTTATGCTTTACGCCTTATCCCCTTCAATGCTGGTGTCGGGGTCCTCCTCTGCTCCTTCTAGGGCAACCTCTTCTGCAAAAACCTTTCTTGCTCACTCGCTGTTACAGTCTGTGTTGTATGGTGCCTGGAATCACCCTGTGAAGTTGTTCTCTCCCTTTGAACAGTCTGCCTGAAGGTGAGGGCTCATGGTACCCCCTGTTTGTTGAGGTAAGCCACTACTGTAGCATTGTCCAAAAACACTAATAGGTGATGAGACCTGAGCATGTCCTGTAAAGCTAAAAGAGTGAGGACCACCTTGAGCTTCCTCCAATTTGAATATGTTGTCGCTTCTGCCCGTGACCACTGAACCTGAATCACTAAGTCCCCTGAGTGGGCTCCCCACCCCCAGGAACTAGTGTCCATTGTGAGTTTCCTGGATGGCTGATTTAACCAAGGGAGTGATTCTTCCACCACCAAAGGCTACTTTTCAGAGTGGATGAAAGAACTTCCAAATCAAGATCTTTGATAAAAATGAGCCCATCTGACCACTGGCAAACACAAAGTCATGAGACCTAGAACGGACATCACGGACCTCAGTGACACCGGAAGATTCTCCTGAAGATGACTTACTGTCAGACAAACCTTCTGTATCTTCTCTTATGGTAAAAAAATGTTTGCCTCTCAGTATTGGGGACATACCCTAAAAAGGTCACCACTTGTGAAGGTACAAGGTTGGACTTTACGATTTATGATCCAGCCCAGGTCCCGCAACTAATTCTGTTCAAAGCCAAGATCCTTTTCTAGCTGAGCTACAAATGGGGCCAGAAACAGGATATCATCCAGGTAAGGAAGAATATTTATCCCTTGCAGTCTCAAGGGGGTTAGGGCTTCTCCTAGAACTTTTGAAAAGATCCGTGGAGCTGAGGAGAGCCCAAAGGGAAGAGCTTTGAATTGGAAATTAACTATCCCAGTGTTTGTTTTCCCTGCTAACCACAAGAACTGCTGATGATCTGGGTGAATGGGTTTGTGTAGATAAGCATCCCTCAAGTCTAGAGTCGTTAGAAATGAGTTAGGACGCAATAGTGTCATTACCGTAAAAATGGAGTCCATCCTGAATTTCTTGTACTTTATAGACACATTCAAAAATCTGAGGCTGAGAATAAGGTGAGACTTGCCCTAGGGCTTCTGAACTAAGAATACATGAGATCAGAAGCCCTGACCCTGCTCCGCCCCTGGCACTTGCTCAACAACTCTCTCATCCACAATGTTTCTTGTAAGCTCCCCCTGCCTTGTCATCCTTGTTACCCTGGTTCCTGTTCCGGGGTCAACAAAAAAATTTCCGAAAAGTCTTTTTCTTATTTTCTGGGAAAAATATTGTTCTATCTGCCGTACGCTCTAGCACAGCTTTGAGCTCTGGGCCAAAAAGGAGATCCCCTGAAAAAGGAAGATTACAGAGATAAAGTTTTTAAGCAGTATCGTCTTCCCAAGCCTTTAACCATAGAGCCCTGCGGGAGGAATTAACCAGAGCAGAGGATCTGGCCAACATTCATACAGATTCAGCAGAGGCGTTCACAATAACCCAACTGCCTTAAAACGCATTGGAAACAAATCTAAAAGTTGTTCTCTGGGAACCTTAAGACACGAGGTCCAGAATTCCAGGTTCCTGGTGACACAAGTAGTAGCCAGAGCAGGCTTACGATTAGCTAAGGATGAGTGCCAGACTCTTTCAGTAGTCCCTAATGCTTGGCTTTATTCTCTGGTGGTAAATTTGCATCATATAGAGGCATAGGATGTAGGGGGAAAAAAAAGCAATTCTACATATTTAATATGATCAAATTCTTGTTGGGATATTCTTTTGACGGCTGTGGAAGCAGAGAACTTTGCTAGTATATGTAGACATTTACTCACTATGTAACTTATTTATATCATCTGCTAAAACACCATATGAAATATGATAAACTTTATCCCACTTTGGGATAATGATAACTTAAAGGAGATATGATAGAAAGTTTTAATAGACAAGGCCTATGGGGTGTTAAATACTGTATTTATAATAGTTACTTAAAGGAGAACTATGGGGTCAGGGCTTTTCCCCATAGTTCTCCTAAGGGTAACGGGAGGACACAAACTAGTGCCCTCCCGTCACCCTAAGCTCAGTATACCGCGAGCTACTGCTCGCGGTATACTGAGAGTCCCCTGTGCCCGCCCCCACCCGTCCGTTGCGCCAGTCAACCCTGGAGGATCGGACAGGGGAGGGGGGAATCCTTGCAGGGAGCCGTGAGTGACAGTCACGGCTCTCTGCAGTGATAGATCGAGAAGTGAGCGAGCGACGCTATGTGTTCGCTCACTTCCTGATCTATTGAGCCAATCTGTGACAGTTTCATTGTCACAGGTTGGCTAGAACTTTGAGGCTGAGTGATTTTCACTTGCCTCATAGTTCTCCTTTAAAGCGTATTTTCACTTTTTCAGTCAAAATTGAGAAAACCCCACTTTATGCTTGTTATGCATTCCTCATCCACATATCTAAAAATAATTACAAAAAAATGTTCTTACCTTTTAGATACCTCTATTTAGCAGGCCTTTCAATTTCAATTTCAGTAACAGGAAACTCCTGTCTATCCTAATGAGAAACTTAGGACAGAGTAAGCTTTCTCCTCATTAACTTGCAAGGCTTTTAGATCTTTAACCCTTTGTTAGATAAGACAGTGTTTAAATCTAGTTTTCAAATCATAATAAGATTTGCCAGCACAGTACCGCCCCGCATTCTGGAGGTAAATTCAGTTTAGTAAAAACTAGTAATATAAGAAAACAGGTAATATGTAAGCAGCAATTTTTATTTTTTAAGCTATTCTAGCTGCACTATGATATTATGGAAAAAACGCATTTCACCTGTATCAAGCTTCAGACTGCTCCCCTAACTAAACAAATTGGTTAGTGCAGCGTCTGGGAAGGGGTTTGATTACACATACATATACAAAATAATTTGCATAGGTTCATGCTAAAAGGGTTATTAAAACCACATAAGTAAAAACCATATAGTGCTGCAGACCCCAGAACTTACCATCTTCACTGTGTGGCTTTCGTCTTAAGCCTGTCGTTCTTTTTCATTTATTTTCTGAAAAAGCTGTTTTCCCCAGTCCCTGCTCCCCCCTCCTCCCTGCATGTGCACTGTGACTTCTGAACAACTGCATGTATAATATTCAGGGTGTTAGCTCCCCTATCCGCAAGTTCAGGAAAGTGGCACTCTGCGGACATGGAGCCGGCAGCAGTGTTTTTGTTTGACAAGACAAAGCAGTGTTTTTGTCTGACAAGACAAAATCTAGCCATGCATGGCTATCTTTAGTTTAAGAGAATCCACATCTTGTATTACATGCAATTTAGATCCAGGTCTGTGTTTTTGCTAACTTCATGGTGCTGTATGGAAAATTTACATTAATTGTTTTAACTGCCAAAATATTTTTTAATTCCAATAGTTTTTGCGACTCTCCCACCCCCTGCCATACCACAAAAAAGGCACACTGATAAAGTTATCTCTATGCAGTAAGCATATTCACAGTGTAAAGCTGGCAATACACTGTGCAAATTCGTCCAGTTCTTGATGAACCTGTCAAAATTTGTTTAGTGGCTGATCCTCTTGGCACCATTGCATCCTTTAATCAGAAAATTGAAGGAATTGGTCAGAAAATGTTTGTGTGAACAGTGATGCAGCCAATCGGGTATTCTGACAGCTGCACGCCTTCCGCTGTCAGAATACAAAAGCCCAGCAGGAGATTTGGCCATTTATAGGTGTGCTGTTTCCAACAGCTATGTGGAACTGGTGTTGATGTGGACTCGATAGATAAGTATTAGTGGGTCAGGGAGGTAGCTTTACATGGGCACTGAATGGACAGTGACAGTTTTAATGTGTTTTATTTGGCCTTTTCTACCTATATGAACAACAATATGTGTTGCAGTTCTTCTGTAGTTAAATACAATGCAAAGAAACAAACTGCTTTATTGATGATCATCTTATATAAAAATTGTGAAATTACCAGTTTTCAAGAGTTGTGGATGCGTAAAAGGACTGGGTTGTCCCAAATTCCTTTTTGGAAAGCTGAAAAGCGGATGAGATCTTGTAGAAAACCACCGTGTCACACAAAAAGCACCAGCTGTAAAGAAATAAATGACAATGTAATTTTAATTTACATAGGTAGAAACAATAGATAAGTCCATCAATTAAAAAAATTAATTGAAAAAAAAACAATTCTCAAAAACTGATAGGAAGGCAAAAAAAACCATAAAGGATGAGTCAATGTGATCCATTAAGGAAAAAACTCCTTCCTGTTCCCCAAAAGAAATATCTCTCTGAATTAACATTCTATGTTAATTCCTATAAATATGCAAAAGCATCTTTTCCTTCTGTTGCAAAGAGTGATCTTGTATTTTTTGTGGTCCCCCTAAAGTGAACTACTTTCCATCTTAATTTGGATCCCTTGTGCATTTATTCAACTGGTTATATCCGTCTTTAGATGACCTCTTCTCAGAGGTGAATAAATTCAGTTCATATATTTTTCTCATAGTGGAGGTCCACAAGGCCCCTTATTCATTAGTTGCCATTATCTACACTATTTTTTGTTCCACAATAAAAAAAAATTAAAACTGGTGCCCAAAACTGAACTGCATATTCAGGAGATCTTACTAATGCTTTGCATGGTTATGTATATCTCCATTGGGTCTATTTGACTTTTCTTGCTCAAAACAGTATATAGATATTTTTCATGCCCATGCTGCTATGTTTAGAACCATAAAAGAATATGCGCTGTGTGGATCTGAATGCAGCATTTTTTATGCATGAGCCCTTAAAGTCTAGCTTTTGCTTTCACATATATTTCAAGTGTGCTAAAGCAGACAATTTGGAGAAAAAAAGCCACATAAATCAACATAAGCATAAAACACACATTATTGCATGTTTATAATTATGTCAATACAGAAAATAGTACATTAAGAGAGACTGTAATACATTGCGGGTCATTTTGTGCCCTTTTAAGCTTTTAAAATGTTAGCTTATATTTGTTTTGTTGCCATAAATATAGAGTCTTTTTTATCTAAAATGAAAACAGCAGAAGCTGCCTGCCTTGAGTTCCACTTTGCATGTCTGAAACCTTATTCATTAGAGAAGTTCTGCAAAATGTCTCTCCCAGTTGTTAGGGCTGCTAGATCAACACTGCAGTGTGGCAAAGACATGTTGTGGATGACCGGTAGGCTGCCTTGTAAATTGTCTCAGGAAAAACTCCACTGTAAGGAGCCCACAATTATGCTATTCTTCTGGTATAAAGCGCTTTGATATTTTCCAGAACCTTGATTTCCTTAAAGCTGTAGTCATTTTGTATAGCCTTAAAAAAAACCACAAGGTTATGGTCCTGGAAAAAACAGTTTTTCTTCGCATGGACCGCAACAGGATAAACATGTTCCTGGAAAATCTGAGGTTTGCAATTGACGAAGACACTCAGAGTATTGCCCCCGTCCAGGGTGTGACAGCAATCTGGAAAGGAATTTGTAATGCCTGTATCACTGGGCAGAGAGGGTCAAAGGATTTTGTAGCCAGAAAGATTAGAAATGTTTTAAATAATGTAGAGCAGCTTTTCTCAACTTCCTTGAAATAACCTTTAGGTCTTAGGGAACCCCTGCTATAATTATTATACCAGTCACAAGACATTAGCGTGAAGAGAAAGCTATAGATTTAAGAATTAAAAAAAATAACAAATGTGATGTTTTTTGCGTATTTGACACCCAGGGCTGCTCTATACGAAATTATATTATTTTTGGCAATAAGGTAACTAGCAAAAGTGTGCCCATTCCAGAACAAGCAAGGTTGGGGATGGAGGAGTGTTAGTATAGTGGAAGTTGCGGTGGTGGACAGTGGGCGGGTGCAGGGGCAGGCGGGTCTTGCTGCCTAAGTGGTGAGGATTCTGGTAGAGTGGCAGGGGATGGTCTGGTAGAGTGAGGGGGGGGGTCAGAAAGTGGGGAGCTTTAGTAGGATGGAAGAGTGATATGAGTGGGTGGGGGAGTGGTGCTGCCAGAGTGGTGAGACCATGGGGGGAGTACACTTCCCAAAGTTCTGCCAACACTGCTTTAATTTTTTATTTAAAAAATGCTTCTGTACTCCTAAAAATAACCATGATCTAACCAGCTGTGTTTATCATCAAAAATATAGTAAAAATAAAAGTAGGGGCGTGTCTATGGCGGCAGCAAGACGTGCTTACTGAGAACTTCGTGCTGTTCACCTGTTGTATTTACACACTAATAACTTACACTGCTCCTCACCAGCCGATTCTTCATTGGGAATTAAACTGCTCGCCCAGATACCTCCAAAACTCTTGCTTTTGGGTCAAATAAACACTTTCTAGCCTCACACCAACGTGCTCCACGAGGCCTACATCCCCCCTCTGACCTTTCTCCACGATCGTCCTTGAACAACCGGGACACGGATTCAGGAGATGAGCAGGAGCATCGCTTACTGTCGGCTATGGGCTAATTAGTTTGTGCTCTGTTCTCAACTATTCTCATTATCAATTGGTTGGTTGGATCCCCTAGCTCTCTCCTCCACGCTGGGAGGAGGGCACAGCAAGCAGTGGGCGGGTGCAATATCCAGCCTGCTCTTGGCTATTGCAATATCTGCTGTATTTACATTCAGCTGGCATCTGTGGAATCTTGCCAATGGCAGCTGTCATTCCCTGACTGAAGCTATTTAAGCGCTTACAATACAATTATTTAAAAAAAATAAAAATAAAAGGTGGGAAAAAAGTCATTTTCGGTTTCAGCCTCACAAATTCTGCTGCGGGAAGTGCGTTGCAGTGCCATTCATTTCAGTGGCACCCCAAACGCACCACCCGCCTACAGTGTGATCGCCCGCACTGGAACGCATGGTACCGCAATGAAGTGCATTCCAGTGCAGTGTGATTCTAAAAAATTGTGCATGCAGTTTTATTCTGAAGTAACATTTATGTTTGTAACACTGCATTTGTGTATTTTATTTTAAATTAAGGATGGTATTTGGGTAATTTTCTTTATCCAATTAATCGGAAAAAATCATCGTCCAACTAATAGATGATGAAAATAATCGTTAGTTGCAGCCCTAGACTGAAGCACTCTCTAAAGGCGGACTTCTTGTCTCTGAACACGGAGGTCACTCACTTCACCGTGTAGAAGACGAGAACCGCATAGACTCACATGTGCTGGCAATATCGGCGCTACTAAAACATTTTCAAGCCATTACCCTAGCGCGGAGAGACCTCTGCTACTGTCTGGAAGAATAGGAAAACTGAGAATGCAGAAAAAATCTGTGCGTCCACAGCCTTTTGGAGGCGACCGCTGGTCGAGACCTGGTGGACACCCTGGGAGGTATCTTTTAAAACCATTTTGGGTAAGCCTGCCATCACTCTATTACTGTTTGATAGGGTGCAGAGAGCCCTACCACCAAGAGGCCTCCCTTCAGAGAACCCCAGTGGCAGTATATGTTGTCTACATTATTATTCTGATAAAGATGCTATCTTGGAGAAACTCAGAGGAGCACCCTTTACTGACTTTGATGGAGCGAAAATACAAATATTCCCTTATCTGGCACGGGGAACCTTGGCACGTCGCCGAGCAATTTGTCCTTTATTGGAAATCCTGCAAACAGAAGGGATTTTATAAAGAAACAAAGGCAGAGAGCACCCAAACCATGTGAAGGACTGTTTATTAAAAACAATTTATAAGAGCAGTAATGGGGTTCTGAGGCAGGGGGCTTTCCCCCGGAAACGCGTGGATCCACCCCTGTTGGATCAGAACTGGTGATTAAGGCTCCCTGTTCCTTACTATGGAGCAGCCCCCTGTATGACTGGCAATTATTTGGAGGGATGATCACTTGCTGAAACTTGCGTCAGGAGTGAAGTTTTTAATTGAACTATATTTGTAGAAGGGATTTCATATCGCTGGGGCTTTCCTTCCTGCTTAATCGCCAAGAAAAATGGGAAGTCTGCAGTCCTCCATAATCTAGAGGATCTTGCCCAATTTTGTGCGACTTTATCGATCTGCACTCCGCCCTTACCAGGCTGGCAAGAAGCCCCTCCCCCGTGCTGGAACCACTGCCTAACAACGCATGGAAATCTTCCCACCCAACTGCATCTTCTTGGGATGTAATACTACTGTTTTATACCGTATTAGGCTTTATTGTTCCAATTCGTTTGTTTATTGTAAACGCTTAATGCGGGTGAAGTGCATTCTCGGCTCCAAGTTATTTCTTTAACCCTTTTGTCACATTACTGGCCTGCCACGTTCCCTGCATTTAGCGTAATGCTCCCAGAGAGTCTTTATTGGTCAAAGACCAAATATTCTTTGGTCAGTTTGTTAGTTTGAAAATGTTGTTTTGTTTACACTGTTGATCCTGATGACCACAGCTTTTTTCTTTGTATCTTGTGCTTTTCTTCCGTTTTTCTCTCCCTTCCTTCTCAGTGGTCTGGACATGGGCACCCAATTGTCATACATTTGACTTTCCTGTTTTTGTGACCGCCAATGGCTAACCTTAATGTAGTTACGTACAATGTCAAAGGACTTAATTCCCCATTTAAAAGGCACCGTATATTGAGGGAGTAACGAAAACTGAAAAGTTATATCTTTTTACAAGAGACCCATTGGACTCATCATACTCATGTCCGTCTGACATCTTCTCACTTTCCCACCTGGAAATATAGCACTTCCTCTTTTAGTAAATCACGTGGAGTCGCTATTGGCTTTTACAACGGTATTGTATTTCAACTAGTGGATTTCAAGATCGATCCTGATGGGAGATACTTGTTTCTGAAAGAACATATTGATAAACGGGTTTTCACCTTGGCTATGGTATATGGCCCCAATCAGGCTCAGGCCCCCTTCTTGAGACTTACCATTCATTTATTGTCTGACTTTCAACGTGGTATTACCCTCCTGGCAGGAGATTTAAATATACAACTAGATCCTTCTCTTGATTCCTCCCTAGGCCACTCGCATGTCACATATAAACATTTACCATGAGGAAGACCTTATACGGTTTTCAGCTGATGGATACGTGACAGATCCTCCATCCGCATGAGTGAAATTACACTATTTTCCACTGTACATAATTCCTATACCCAGATTGATTATATTTTTC